GCCCCCTGCGCAGAAAGGACTTGCCTTAAGACACCTGGACCACTTTTCTCCTTTGTGTTGCCCACCTGGTCTCTGCAGGCGTTTTGCTGAGTCACCTCCCGGGTCTAACAGCTCAGAGACATGCTGAGACTTACTCTTCTAAACAATCGTAACAGGTTAGCGCCACGCCATGGCCGTTCCTGTTGAGGGCTCACGCGAGACGGGCGGTGCTGAAAGAGGGCAGCTCCAACTTGGGTGGTGAGAGGATCTTTATAGGAATTAGTGGGCAACCCAAAATTTAAAAGTAAGAAAACTCAAAAACATCAATTTGTTGATAGCCTCCTAGAGGAACACACGGCTCCAGCCTCCAGAGCTCAGTGGGAAGCAGAAGGGACCAAACCAGTTTACTTTCCTGCCCAGCTAAAAGCAGGAGGGCGATAGATGAGGGGAAGCGATGGAGGGAATTGGACCAGTTGGAGCACCGCTGTTGAGTATCTGCAGTGATCGTGCTTGTTATTGCAGGAGAGAGAGATCAGAGGAGCGGCTTCTTGTCAGGAAAGGTGCGGCCTGGGGAGGGTCTGAGGGTCTTGTGGGCCCTGAGGTGGCTTTTGGTGGCTGCGCTAGGGCCTGGACCCTGGGAGACCTGAGAGATGGCCCATGTCCCTTAACTCTGTGCACCTGTTTCTTTATCCACTTCCCTTGCCTGTCTCATGAGATGCTTACGAGAATCACAGGATAACACGTTTTGAAACTGTGGAGCGCTACAGAGTACAGATGAGACTCCAGAAGGAACTTGAGAATCATTCCCCACAGCCAGTCCATCAGCTGGTTCTGTTGATTCCATCACCCACATCTCTCCGAATTTGTCGTCTGTCCATCGCTCTGCCATCCTAGTGCCGGGCACCTCCTGACTGCTCTCCCGGCGTCCTTGCCCCTCTGCCCATTCTCTATCCACCAGGAAGAGTGACCTTTATAAATGTGTGTAACTAAAATCCTCCACTGCCTTTCTCATCTGTATCTATGTCTTGCCATGATACTGACCCTTTGTTATACGACCCTCCCACCTCTGCCGCCTGCCCCGCCCCTGCTCTCCAGCTCCACTCCATCCCTCAGTCCCCCTGGATCTTCCCCGTGGGGCCTCTGCCCAGACCGCTCAGCCCTCACCAGCTCTCTCCTCCTGCACAGCTCGGCTTCAGGGTCCCCTCCTCAACCACCCTCCATGAAGCCTCTGCTCCTTGTTATTTCTCCCTCAGCCTTTGGTCCATGTCAGAACACTTATCACACCTGGCTGGTGTGGGTGTTTTTTTTAATTGTGGTAAAATATACATACTGTAAAATTTCCCATCTGAACCATTTCTAGGTGTGCAGTTCAGCAGTGTTAAGTATATTCACTTTGTTGTGCGGCCAATCTCCAGAACTCTTTTCATCTTGCAAAACTAAAACTCTGTACTCATTAAATAACAGTTCCCCATTCATCTTCCCCTCGTCCCTGGCCACCACCATTCTACTTTTTGTTTCTGTGAATTTAACTACTCTAGAAACCTCATATGATGGAATCATACAGTGTTTGTCTTTTTGTGACTGGCTTATTTCACTTAGCATAATCTCCTCTAGGTTCACATATGTTGTAGTATGTGACAGAATTTCCTTTCTTTGTTTTTATTTGAGGAAGATTAGCCCTGAGCTGACATCCGCCTCCAATCCTCCTCTTTTTGCTGAGGAAGACTGGCCCAGAGCTAACATCTGTGCCCATCTTCCTCTACTTTCTATGTGGGATGCCTGCCACAGCATGGCTTGCCAAGCGGGGTGTAGGTCCACGCCTGGGACCCAAACTGGAAAACCCCAGGTCACTAAAGCAGAGCATGCAAACTGAACCGCTACACCACTGGGTCGGCCCCTGGATTTCCTTTCTTTTTAAGGCTGAATAATATTCTGTTGTATATGTATACCACATTTTGTTTTTCCATTCATCTGTTGACAGACACTTGGGCTGTTTCCACCTTTGGCTGTTGTGAATAATGCTGCAGTGACCATGGGTATACAAATATTTCTTTGAGATCCCCTTCCAATTCTTTAGAAGTGGAATTGCTAGATCATCTGGTAGTTCTATTTTAATTTTTTGAGAAACCACTGTACTGTTTTCCATAGTGACTGAACCATTTTACATTCCCATCAGCAATGCACAAAGGTTCCAGTTTATCCACATCCTTGCCAACACTTATTTTCTTCTTCCTTTTTTTTTTTAACCGTAGCCATCCTAATGGCTTTGAGTTGGTATTTCATTGTGGTTTTAATTTGCATTTCCCTACTGATAGTGATGCTGAGCATCTTTTCATGTATCTATTCACCATTTGTATGTCTTCTTTGGAGAAATGTCTATTCAAGTCCTTTGTCCATTTTTTAATCTGGTTGTTGGTGTTTTGTTGTCACATTGTGGTTCTTTGGCCTCTGGTTTTTACGTCTACTAGAATTTGGTGTGTACCCTAAGCTCCAGGAGGGCGGGGCCATGCGCACCTTGTTCCCTGCTATCATGGAGCCTGCACATGGTTATTGGTTGATGAACAGACATGCATGTAGCTCTCAACAGCAAAGGAATAAAAGAATGTATTAATTCATGCATTCATGCTTGTTTCGAGAAGGATTTAAGGCTCTGGTCACATCTCTTAGGAAGTACAGCATTTGGGGTAAGAATGGCAGGTGACCCTGAATAGGCTGTAAATGGACAAACCAGTCTTGACAGGTGTGATTTCACTGCTTTTGGACTGTGCCTGTTTGGTTGACTGTAAATCCCATTTCGTCTAATAATGCTGGTCCTGATGATGAAACTCTGCATGTGTTCAGTTATTTTATAGTTTCAAAATACGCAGCCATCTAATTAGTCTCCTTTGATCCTCCCTCATGAAGAAGGCAGGGAAAGCGTAAGCCGGCTTCACAGATGGAAGAGCAGAAAGGAGAGGTGGAGTCACCTGCGTCCCTTCTCTCCCACCTCCAGTGTCTCCTCTGGTCCTTGTGCCTGACTCCCCCTCCCAGACCTCCACCCCCTTGGTGGGTGAGCCCCTGCTCTTCCCAGTTCTCTGTCACTGACAGCCCCTCCCTCCCTTCTTCTCTCTTCTCCCGCTTCATTCAGGCCCTCGGGGTTCCTTACTAGGATCATGGTGGCAGCCCCCTACCTGCTGTGGACCTCTAGGCACGATGCTGTTCACTGCTGCCAGAGTAAACTTTCCCAAACTCCAATTTCCTCATTTTCCTGTGGAATTTGAATTCTTTGATGTTTCCACATTGCCTTCAGGGTAAAGTCCACACCATTCATGTGGCACCCAGGCCCTTCACAGCTCCCTCAGCACCTGCCGTGACTGACCCCCCGCCCTCCCGCCATGCCAGCCCTTCAGCCTCTTTCCCTGCAATCTTTGCAGATGCTGCTGCCTCTGCCTACAATACACCCCCCACAACCTGACTCCCCCAACTTATTCCCGAGTTTTGATGTCATCCTGTCCACCCTGACCTGCTGCCCCACCACCTCCACCCCAGCCGGAGTCGGGCCCCCGCCTGCCCCAGCTCGCTGTGTCTCTGTGTTTACCTCTTGGTACCACCTGCGCGTCTGTAGGTAATTGTACATTTCCTTGTCAGTCTCCTCGCTGGCTGTGCGCTCTGAACCTGGGCGGTGTCTTTTTATCTTTCTATTTCAACAGTTGGCCCAGTGCCTCTCACAGAGTAGGTCTTTGCGGGAAGGAGGAGGGAGAGGAAAAGGGAAAGTTTGTCTGATTTCAAAGTTCATGTGCTTGCTGTCCCTGCCCCCCCCCCCCCCCCCCCCCCCCCCTGCCCCTGCCCCCCCCCCCCCCCCGCCCCCCCCTCCCCCCCACCCCTGCCATTGCATCCTCCCACGCCAGGGGGAGGGAGGTTATAGGTTGACTCCCAGAGTGACCCAGTCAGCTCTTCGTTCCCTGGCCACCCTGAAACTCACTGACCCCGGCCTACCTTCTGGTAAATGCATCCCAGCAAAGAGCGGTGACTCATGTGTGACTCAGCGAGGATGCAGCACAGCTGGAAAAGCGGCCCGTGTGTCCACTTGGGGGAGGGGTAGGAGGGATTAGGGAGCAGCCAAGAGCCAGGCCCTGTTCACGAGGTCTTGCAACCCCGCACCTGCTAACTGGAACGAAGGTATAAATCCTCCCGTGTCCACAGAGCAAGAGGCTGCAGGAACGGAGCCTTAGGAGACAGAGAGCTGGGATTCTAGCCAATCTATTACTGTTAGATAGTATTTTAATAAACTTCCACTTCTGCCGGGGTTACCATGGTTATAGGCACTGTGTTGAGCATCTTGCATATGAATTATCTCATTTAATCCTCACAATAGCCCAACATCAACAACAAAAATAATAGCAAATTCATGGATAGTGGTTACTACATGCCAGATACCGTTCTGAGCACTTTGCATTTATTGAGCCATCTAATTCCCCCAATAACCATATGATACAGGAACTATTATCCTTATTTTGCAGATGAGGAAACTGAGGCATAAAAAGGTCACCCATAGAGGTGCCCCAAAGTCCCATGGGAAGTAAATGGCAGCTGTGATGCACATGCAGGCTTCTGCATCTCCACTCTTAACCTCCATGCTGTGCATCCTCCGTGAAGTATGACTACAGTCCCATTTTACAGGAGAGGAAATTGAGGCTCAGAGAGGTTGGTCACTTATCCATAGTCACACAGCCAGGGAGTAAGGGAGAGTGGTTGTCTCCAACCCCTGGCTCCTCAACACTGTGCCCTCCTGCCCGGCTCAGGAGATGTAGTCGTCACGATACATGGTGGGCTTGGTTCTCCTTAGCCCGCCCCCACTGGTGCTGCCCAAGGGCTGAGTCCACAGGTTGGGTAGGATTCTGGGGAAGAAACTCTCCTAAGTCTAGGGTTACAGCAAAGGGAAGCGTTCGATGGCACGTTCTGCTGCAGGTCTCTTCTCAGTTTTGGGTCCCAGAGCACTTCCTCCCCGAGGGATGCTGACGGCGCTCTTATTACCTCCACAGACAGCGAGACCGTGCACTACCACTACGGGCCGAAGGACCTGGTCACAATCTTGTTCTACATCTTCATCACCATCATCTTGCACGCTGTGGTTCAAGAGTACATTTTAGACGTAAGTGACGCGTCTGGATTCTGAGACAGAGATGGGGGAGATGCCTTGGAGGAAACTGCAGCTCCGAACCCATTCGTCTCCTAAATTTGCATGCCCTGGTTGGTCCTGTTGCCCGATGTGCCTCCCCACACTTTGGTCTCTGTCCTTCTCACAGCCTTCTTAGGCAGGGCGTGGGGTAGCAGTGTTTATTATTACATGGGGAGACAGCTGCCTGGACTATGACAAGACAGTGTCCTTGTGGGTCTGTCAGACATAGATGATGGGGGGGTTCTTCACATCTAAGCTAAAGACGTTCATTTTGCTCTGTCTCAAAATGCTTGCTTTAAACTAAGTACTGTATGCACACAGAAAGCTTACACTAAATAACTTACATCATGGCCGGCTTCAAACTTCAGCCCTTTCGTGGGGAGAAAACAGGAGTTTATGCCTGTTCTCAATATACTTTTATATTAATACACAGGATTCTCTTTATTCTTTAGAAAATCAGCAAACGGCTTCATCTCTCCAAGGTCAAACACAGCAAGTTCAACGAGTCCGGACAGCTGGTCGTCTTTCATCTCAGCTCGGTGATATGGTGCTTCTATGTGGTGGTGACGGTGAGTGGTCCTCTGGCCTGCTGGAGGGTGGGGCCTGGGCCCCAGGCCGTGTGTCTCTTCTTGGATTTGCTAAGGAAATGTCTGTGAAGGGCGTAGCGGGGAAGAAAAAGAGTAAGGGGCAGTATGTTAACTTGGGGCAGTGTCTTAGAACGGGAGCTATTTTCGCATCCTCATGGTATTTGCCATGAGAGAGAGGCCGAGCTGTATAGATGCCATGGTGTAGCTGCAGGGTCACCCTGTCCAAAAATAAACACTTGTTATGGTTATTATGTGATGCTACAATCATGATACCATATATCTGCATAGCACTGCATCATTTTACAGGACCTTCCTACAAATGCTATCCCATGAGAGAAATTTTATGTTCATTCCGGTACCCGTGTTAGGGATTGAAGAAATGCAGGCTCCAATTTCACAGTGTGCTCATGGTCACCTGGTTCTGAAGTGACAAGGACAGGACTTGGACTTAAGGGTCTGGTTCCAAGTTCAGCACTTTCTGTTTTACCACTTTGGCCTCCTGCAGGCAAAGCCAGCACCCCCTTGTCTGCACATCTAATCCTGTGGGAGCCAATGCCATTCCCACAGAGGCCTAGAGGACCAGACAACTTGTCTACTCCCCTTTCGACACAATAGGGCTCTTACTTGGAGCAACCTTGGATACAGCAGAATTCCTTTGTATGAAGGGATGTGGACAGTCCTTTGGGGTTTGCTGTAGCCAGACCTGGCCTGTGATGCTAGGAAGTTCTTAACTAGTGCGCATGCGCTCGCACACACCCTTGGAGTCCCACCTGTCTGTAACCTGGTCTCTTTCTCAGGAGCTGGAATTGTCCTGTGGCTGGAGAAGTCCAGGCCCAGGGCTTAGAAAGTTCCGCAACCCTGTGTCACCTTTTAGAAGTGTCCTTCCCTGCCTCGCCGGTCGCCTCGCCCCCTTCCTCTTCCTTCAGCGGCAGTGAGGAGCTTTCCCATCCTAAGGAACTGTCTCCAGAGCTGAGAGCTGACTTCCTATTCTCAAAACAGGAGTCAACATGTCCTTTTGATTATTTCGGTTATTATTTAATCACAGAACAGTTTTCCTAAACAGAACACTAGGAATTTTAAATGAAGGACCCAAGACTTCTGTCCTCTCAGCTGGGCTGCCGTGTTACTCTGGCCCGGGAGGTGGACTTACCGTGAGGGCTGTGGGAGCGCCCCCTGCCGTGAGGCAGCGCACAGCCTGGTCCTCGGAAGTCTAGGTGCTTCTGGATCCCAGACCCCTCCCAGGGTCTTGGCATTTGTTCCTGGGGCCTCTGGAGACCCTGCACTGCTTTGAGGCAGACCGGCCTTAGGGTGCTACAGACATTTAACTGGTCTTTCAGGAGAAGCGTTGCCTCATCTCTGAATCACTTTTACCCTTTCTTCCTCACGCCCGGACATTCCACCCAGCTGTGACACATTAGAGCGGATTGGAGGCCAACGGCCAAGTTACTCAGCACCCCTTCCAGAGTGGGAATGCTCAGCTGCTCTGTCTCTGCTTCGCTCGGGCTTTCAAGGGCTTGAACATGGTGATGCTAATTAGCCTGGGAGCGTGTAGCACTCCTCTCGGGGAAGCCCAGCACAGGCTTCTATTATGGTGAAAGCCAGTTCCTCACTCAACTTCAACAGGAAATGGAGCCCAGGGGACCCTGGGAAGCCCCAGTGGCCCCAGCTCCTGATAGCACGTAGCTCCTGGCCCTCAACGACTCCATCTGAGCTATTCGGCAGGGGATGATGGTGAACTGATAAGAAGAGAGGGTAGTTTTGTAAAAGGAGTAAAAACAGCTAGTTTTTTAAAAAATCGTATTTTTTACATCATGATGCGAATTTTCCTTGATTCCTCCTTCTTTCACCCTCCATAGTCAGTCCATCAGCAGGTCCCGCCAACCCTACCTCCAGACACATTGAGGTTCTGTCAGCTGCCTTCTGTCTGCACCGCCGCCTCCAGTCCAGTGGCTCTCTCCAGGGAAGAGATGGTTCCCCAGGGGACGTTTGGCAGTATGTTACTGGCGTCTAGTGGGTAGAGGCCAGGGATGCTGCTGAATATCCTACAGTACACATGACAGCCCCACAGCAAAAATCTGTCCGCTCCCAGATGTCCATAGTGCCAAGGCTGGCTGAGCCACCATCATCTCTTGCCTGGATCACTGAATATCTTCCTTCTGGAAGAGGCTCTTTCCGTCCTTGTACCCTCCCACCCTAATCCATTTTCTGGTCAGCCAGACAGATGTTTTTAGAACGTAAATCAAGTCATGCATTCCCCTGCTTAAAAGCCCCCGTCCCACTTGCAGTGACATTGTTCTTCCTCACGCCTGTGCTCTGGGCCCTGCAGCCTTGCCTGTCTCGTCTCACTGGCCCTAGCCCCGCCATCTTGCCTCTGCTTCTCTAACTGTCCTGGCATTCCTCCCTCCTGGGCTTTGCACGGTGGTTCCTCGCATCAAATCCTCCATCCCCTGACATCACTTGGCTGGCTCCATCTTGCCATCCAAGTCGCTACCTAAATGTCACCTCCTCAGAGAACCCCCTCAGTTTGTATTTTCTGCCCCATGACCATCACCCGGGCGTTTTGCTTGTTCATGTGTGTATTCTTTGCTGTCTGTCACTCCCACTAGCCCCGGGGCTGATTGCGAGCAGGTGCCCTGCTCACCGCTGTATCCTTGGCATGGCCGAACTGCTCACTGAATACTGGTGGTGAGAACGAATGAGTAAACTGCGACACGTCTTCTTGCTCCAACCTTCAACAGTTTTTAAAGTAACGAAGTGATTGTTTTTGTAAACATCATAGGTGATCATTTTTTAAAAAGTAAGCAGTATATAAAAATTCAAGAAAGAAAGCAAAAATTTACCTCAGGTCACTCCCTCTAGAAATAACCAGTTTTATTTTGCTGTTTGATCCAGACCTTTCTGCATTTATACAGGCAGAGTGACAGGAGAGTGGCTGGACCAGCCAATAACTTTATAAGAATGTCAACCTCCTGCTTTTAACTTACCTTTGAACTATCATTCCTTGTTCAGGGAAATAGAGAAAAGTCACTCTACTGGGGAAAGCAGGGCCGGTGGGCGTTTGGTCTCCCTGCCTGACTTCGTGTTTTGAAACTGAAAGTCCAGGCCTCAGTGGGAACCCAGTAGGGGAACAGCGTTCACGCTGGTGCCGGTCAGGGCTGATTGCCACCAGTGGACCAGTCACGTAGAGCAGGACTTGCGTGCATGGTGCTTCCTGAAGGACCATAATAGAAGGTATGTCTGAATCTAGGAGCAACGCAGTGTCGTGCCTGGATTCTGCTGGTTCTGTGGTTTTGGGGTCGTGCACCTGGAAGGAAGGCTTCGTGGGGAGAGGGAGAGGTGGGTCCAGCTTGCTCAGGCCTCACTCAGGTCCATTTGTAGAACCAGAAGAGAACAAAGGACTTCCCAAGGCCCCCAGACCCTCTCCTGGTGCCTGTCGGGGGCGGGGTTGGGTGGGTTCCAGGCGCTGCCTCTGCCCCGCTTGGCCTCCTGCGGCCTCAGGGAGCTGGTGGGCCTGGGCTCGGAGGCACCCCCGCCCAGGCCCCCCTCGGGCAGCCGCCTGGCCCAAGCCCTGGAAGAGGCAGCGCCCAGGGCGGTGAGTCACGCTCCCCCCGGCCCCGCCCCTCCCTCCCCGCCCCTACACGGTCCCCGTGGACTGGACATCGCAGCAGGCAGCATTTTTCTGGGGAGTTTTCTTGGCTCGTTGGCTTCAAGGTCCTAACCTCGTTGTCTCCTAAGTGAAGGGGCCCAGCTGAGACAGGATCATCTGGCTGTTAGGTGTGCTGCTTCTCTCGGCCAGGCTTTTTTCTTTTTTTTTGGCAGAAATTCCTCCCCCACCTCAGTCCCAGAAGTACCGTTTTCCTCCTTAAATACCTCGCTGCTTCCTCTAGGGAGGAACGTTCTCTGATTTCCTTGACGTGAGGCAGAGAGGGTGGCAGACAGCGTGTCGTCGTGTGCCCAGGTCCGACGTTCTGATGCAGGAGAGAGGGATGGCAGCGATGTGGGGGCGGGAAGGCGCTGCTCCCACCCCCGTGTGCCCCAGGACCTTCCACCTCTGTGCGTGACCGAGGGAGGAAGGGCCGAGAGAGTGAGGAGACCGTAGAAATGAGGCCATGAGGGTTTCGGTGAGACCCCGTCCTTCAAATCTAAGTCACCGTGACTACACTGGTGCGTGAGCCTGATCGGACCTGTTAGGTCATTGGGCTGATGAGGCCATGAGGTGTGGGCTCGGGGCTGTGGACTGTCCCTGAAATGTCCAGGGGCATTTAGTGACTCAGAGGTGGGCGGATCAGCCCTCCCTCGGAAATACAATGGAGGATCCAATGGAGTCACCTGGTGCTCCTCACTCAGACACGCTGGCCTCCCTCTCCTCCTGCGCTGCTGACCCCCGCCCTTCGTCCCGCCGTGAGCAGTGAGGGTTCTCAGCCTCCTCACCAGAGCACCAGCTCAGTTCGTTACCTGACTGACTGAAGCAACCTGGCTGAGCTTACTGGACCAGGAGGTGGGTGGTCCGGCTCAGATTTCAGCTGCACTGCTGAAAAACCATCTCGTTTCAGGAGATCCTTCCAGTCTGTTCCTTCATTTCTCTATTTCTAAAATGAGGCCATACTAATCTAACCTTCTCTAAGTGACAAATAGGAGCCTTTTCTTTTTCCTCTGAAGAGAGAGATTGTCCAAAGCATTCAGCATTCATTCATTCACCCAACAAATTTTTATTGGACTCCCGTGGTGTCAGCCAACTCTTGCTCATGGTGGGTTGTTTCCCCATGTGTTTTGTAATCTTGGATCATAAACTCATCTTTAGCAAGGTTTTATGTGTGAGAATCCTGGGCATCCTTGGATGAGAGTATGTCCCAATGGTATCACTGGCCCACAATCTTACTCATACTAATTTCTTAGCTTGATGGTTCCTGGACCCCACGGGTGGTATATATTTGAACTGTAAACCCAAACCAGTATGAAAGTGAACCCGGGGTTACAGATTTTCCTGGGATAATATTTTTGTTTTCATCCTGAGCCCAGGGTGAACAGACATCTTCTTTATCTTCCTGTGTTGGTTGTCACACTCTTTCTAGTCAACTCTTTCTCTGAGGTGGTAGCCCTTTGAGGGTCCTGATTTTTTACAAGGGTCTCCGGTTCTGCCTCCCAGGGCAACATCTTCTATTCCCACGTGGGTGTGAACATGCTGGCCCCACAGTCCCACCCTACTGCTCTGGCTTTTAGCTCCTCATCCCTTTTGGGTCCCAGGGGTTTTCCCTTTCTTATTGTGAACTCAGCTTTGCCTTTAAAAGAGTATTTGTTAGATTTCATCCAGCATTTCTAGGTGTTTTACGATGGGAGGGTTTTTGGGTTACCTGCCTACTTTGTCAGAGCCCTGGGCTAGATGCTGGAGATACAGAGAAGGGAAGAAAAGACCCCAGCATGAAGGAACTTGCAGAGTGATGGAGACAACTGGCCATAGTGATGCAGTGTGGTAAGGGTCACACTGAGGCCTCAGAGCGAGGCCTGTGGGGTCCTGCCATTCTCTTTATGCACGGTGATGTGAAAAGCCAAACTAAGCTTTTCATTTTCCCAGAGGATGGTGGTTCTGGAGGCCATTTGCTTATTCACTCTGCAAGCATTTCCTGCGTGCCTACATGCCAGGCATAAGAGTGGACACTGTCATATCAACATGAACTGTCACGCATATTTCTAACAATAACTCTGGGAGGGTAAGTATTTTTATCCTCGTTTTACAGGCGAGCCAGCTGAAGCTTAGGGAGACAGACTTGCTGGGGGGTGTAGCTAGTAAGTGTCCGGCCCACGTTGAGATGCAGGGCTTCTGACCCCAGAGCAGAGCTCTCCTGCCATGTTATGGCTCTTTCACAGTCAAGAAACCGGCCAAGTGCCTGCGGCTCCAACACAGACTGGTCCTTCGGTTTCATGTTTCCTTGTCCTTCCTCTTTCTGGCCGCTGGGGGCTGGGTGCACCCCTGACCCCTGGGGCTGCCCTTTCCCCAGTGGCTGCTCTTTCCCCAGCAGGTCTCCCGTTCACATGTCTGAGTGCTGTCTCTTCTCGCCCACTGCAGGAAGGATATTTAACAAACCCACGGAGCCTCTGGGAAGACTACCCGCACGTGTACCTCCCGTGAGTATGCTCATGGCTCGGGCCCCGGGAGGAGTGAGCTGGTCCCTGGCCTCCTCATTCCAGAGTGTGGCCAGAACATTCCAGGGCCAGCTGGCCTGAGGCCTGGATTGTACCCCGAGCCTATCAGGGCACAGTATTGTGGGAGGCAGACTTGTCTGGGAGCTGCTTCCCCCCGGTATCTTGACTGCAGAATCCCAAAGTGGAATGTCGTCTACACTGGCCCCTATCACAGAGGATGTCGTAGTCATCTGCTGTAAGAGAACACCATCGGCTGGGGGGCTTATAGACCACAGAAAGTGATTTCTCACAGTTCCGGAGGCTGGAAAGTCCAAGATCAAGGTGCCAACAGCTTCAGTGTCTGGCAAAGGCCCGCTTCCTGGTTCACAGATGGCCATCCTCTTGCTGTGTCCTCAGATGGCAGAAGCAGAGAGGGTGCTCTCTGGGGCCTCCTCTGCAGGGGCACTAATCCCATTTACCAGGGCTCCACCCTCATGACTGCATCACCTCCCACAGGCCCCACCTTCTAATACCATCACATGGGGCTCAGGATTTCAACATGTGAATTTTGAGGGGACACAGACATTCAGTCCGTAGCAGGTACCTACACCGCATGAGACAGAACATCCCATAAATTCTCTGGGCTCTGTACCTTCCTGGTGACCCGTCACATTTGTAGCACTTCTTCCCTGCGGCCTTCCATGGCTGGTGAGCCTTCGGAGGCAGCATCCCCTTCCTCCCTGGCTCCGGGCCCCTGAGCTCCGCTCCCTCAGGAGGCCACGCGGCCTTCCCGAGCCCCTTCAGAGCAACAGCAGAGGACTCACAGCTGAGGCGGAGCCCGCCCTCGCTACTGAGAGCCGTCCTTCCCCCTCTGCACTCTTTCCATCATTTTTGTTTCTTTCCATGGACTTTCTGTCCCCTAAGTGCTCTTGTCTGTGGAGCAGGGTCCCCAGCTCCGGTGCAGTGCTGGGACCTCCCTCCCTCCCTGGCGCCTGGACCAGCTCCTCACACCGGCCCAGCCCTCGCCTCTCCCTCCTGGGCTTGGCAGGCACCTGCATGGACATCTGTCTCCGTCCCTCCTGTGTGACTCACTCCCTTGTCTCCAGCTTCCAGGTGAAGTTTTTCTACCTGTGCCAGCTGGCCTACTGGCTGCATGCGCTTCCTGAGCTCTACTTCCAGAAGGTACGGAAGGTGAGTACTCACTTCCTCCTCTTGGAGGCCACTCATCTCCCCTCCTGCTGTTCCCAGCACTGCCCTGTCCCTTCCTCTAGAAGCCCAGAGCGTTGGGTGCGGTGGGGATGTGCTGGCAGTCGGGTAGAATGCTGAGTCAGCCCTGGGGAAGTCTGTGGGCAGGCCTCCGGCGTGGGGCCACCAGCGTCCGCCTCTTTGCTGCCTCCCACAGTAGACATGTGGCTCGGGGCATCTCACTCTCCTCTTCTGGATCGTGGACGGAGAGGTTTCTGCCTTTCCCACAGTCTTTTTTATTTTTAAATAGCTTCCTTCTGAATTATTTCCAAAAGCCCTGTTCCCCAGTCCCTGTCTCTTCCTTCTCAGCCCCACCCCACCCTCTGCCCACAAACCCAGAGCTGCTGCCTCGTCCACCCTCAGACTGCTCAGCGGCCTGGTGCCCAGGCCTCTGGGGTTAAAGCGACCAGCCCTGTGGCCATGGGGGGAGGTGGCCTGGCCCACCCCGGCCCACCACGCTTCTCTCCCTTCCCGTGTCCTGAGCCAGGGATGAGCTCGGTCACTGTCGCCTCTCTCGTCTGCAGGAGGAAATTCCCCGCCAGCTCCAGTACATCTGCCTGTACCTGGTCCACATCGCTGGAGCGTACCTCTTAAAGTGAGCGAGACCCCAGAGCCGGCCCCATCTCCTTGCTCTTCTATGGCCGTGCATCTCTCCACACGTTCATTCAATTAGGAGGCATTTATTAGACACCCTCTGTGTGCAGAACACCATGCTCAGACCTGGGAATGCAAAGGTGGATAATGGACGATTCCTTTCTCTTTAGTGGTTCATTCTCAGCCTCGTAGGAGAGACCGTTTACAGGCATAGACCAGGATGGTTTTAGTGTGGTGAGCACTGCATTATGTTATGTGTCACCTGCCATGGGAACCCAGAAGGGTGACAGATGACCTCAACTCAAGACAGAGCCAGGGAAGGCTTCTGAGGGATGTTGGTGCTTGAACTGTGGCTTTGCAGGTTGAAGGCAGCCTGGAGCTGGGCTCTTGCCTCAGGTCCGGTGGCTGATGCGGCCAGAGCTCGGCGCCCTGGGCTCCCTTCCGTTCTGACGTGTGATGAAATGTGTAGTAGTCGCTGCGTGGTTGTTCAGAAGTGGGAAGAGTTGCTGTTGTGTTTGGCCTTGAGTGTCTCCTTTATGAACAGAATCATATTGATGAATAGGATCGGTCATTGCTCATTAGGCATTTTCTTGAGCTCGATCCTTGCAGTATGGGAGAATACCCTGTACTTTCTCTGGTCCGGCGTTTTGAGACCTTGCAGTGTGTAACTCTGCTAAGGTGCCTGGAGGTCCTGGAGCCCGTTACCTCCTAGGTCCTCAGAGCAGGCATCCCGTGAGAAGGACTGACCCCAGGTAACGGAGTCAGGAGGAAGGCAGCTGTCAAACTGCTCTCCTGTCTCGGGGGGCCTGGTGCAGTGTCGCTTCCCAGAGGGGTCTGGGAGGGGCAAAGGCTGTGTGTGGAGTATTGGGTGCTCACGTGTCTCCTGCAGACTGGGTGTAAGAAAGCCAGGCTGCGCTGTCCCAGAGCAGTGTGTGGCTGGGACTGGGGTGAGAATGCACAGGCGGGACCACAAAGGAGGAGAGCTTCCTGCTGCTCTCGGGTCCCCGCTGTATCATCACTTCTTCCTCCCAAAGATGAGAGGTACTCGGGGATCCGTTTTCCCCACATCTGACGTGTCCCGGGGAAGGATGGGCAGGTGTCTGGCCCTGTTTGGACCTAGTCTGTGAATCCTTGTTTTGGCGGAACAGACCTGAGAGGCAGGGAGGAGCAGATGCTCCAAAGTCACCCTTTCCATTCCATTCCCAGCGAGGCTGGCACTACTTTCAAGGTGAGGCCTCCTCTCTCTGCTCCTTTAGGGAGCATGGCCTCCTTTCCCCTCCATCTTATTCTAGTTTTCAGAGAGGAGTGGGGAAAGGAGAGCCCCTTGGCTGCAGGATTTCCCAAGGAAGACAGACCTTGACATGCCAAATGATACGGGGGCTCCTGTTGGTGAGGAGCTTGGCTTTGGGAGGCCTCCACTCACTCAGCACATGCCTGAGCCCCTCCTGTGGGCCAGACGCTGCTCCCAGAGCTGCACTTATACCTGGGTGAAGGGAGACAAGGCCCTGCTCTCCTGTGGCATCTGTTCTAGTGGGAGGCAGACCATAAATAAGGAAATAAATAAATAGTTTCCTAAGGTGGTATGTGTAGTGAAGAGAATAAAGCAGGATAATGTAATGGAGCAACTTGTCCACCGGCACCTTTGGTGTGCTGAGGGAAGGCCTCTTTGAGGAGGTGACTCAGATTGAGGAGTGAATGACAAGAGCCAGGTACATGAAGATCTGGGGAGATTGCTGGGCAGGCAGAGGGAACAGCAGGTGCAAAGGCCCTGAGGTGCGAGTGGGCATAAAGCCCAGTGTGGCTGGAGTACAGAAAATGATTGAGACAAGGTCGTGGGCAGGATCGTGTTGGACTCTAGGCCATGTGAAGACATTGGGTAGTTTTCACATCATCTCTTGACTATTCTCAGGATCCAGTGACCATCCTGATCGTTTCCACTTTGGTCTCCTTGGGTGGAATCGGCCAGATCCTGATTTATCACTGCCCGTGGGAGTGCTCCCACATGATCTCAGGGACTTCCTGAAGCCCTGCGTGTTTGGCGGGATCTGTGACTTCGCTTTGCAGTCTTTTCCCATTTGTTTGAACTACAGCTGACCGTCGGCAGGAAGCTGCTAAGGAACTTAGGCCCAGTGTCACACCTGGAAGTAAGCGAGGGCCGTGTCTGAGCGGGCACTGATGCTCCAAGAGGTCAGCTCACTAGCACGGATTTTTGCAATATGTGGAGTTTGCTTCCTCTTAGCTGTGAAGACTTGGATAAGGACACATCAGACGGTGGGAGTCGCTCGTATTTCTCCATGAAAGCTCAGCAGCTTGTTATGTGCTTGGTTGCGGGCTAGGTGACAAAGACAAGGTGACAAGTGCTGTGGAGAGTCTAGGACAGGCTCCCTGTGGGAGCAGGCAGGGGCGCCTCCCCAGACAGCCCAGGTGGAAGCCAGTGGGGTCACTGTCAGGAACAATGAAAAGTGTGACAGCAGAACTGAACCCTCCGAGATGAGGCAGGGCCGGCCGTGCAGGTGGGAGTGAAGGCAGCCCAGGGCGCGGCTGCCGCCTCTGCTCCCCGGGGCGTTTCGGGGGACTGAGGCCGTGCGTTTGTCCGCAGCCTGAGCCGCCTGGGCCTGATCCTGCTGCTGTTGCAGTACTCCACCGAGTTCCTCTTCCACACGGCTCGACTCTTCTACTTCGCAGACGAGAACAACGAGAAGCTGTACGTGGTGCTGGGGGGAGGCCGGCCCCCCTGAGGCCTGGCTGATGGGGAAGGTCCTGCCCTGGGGGCACACTGCCCCCTTACCTGCAGGTGGCACCCCGAGGTCACTGTTTTCCTGGAGCATCTTATTCTAGATACCTCATCCCTCAAGCACCCTACTCGGCCACCCTTGAGCCCCCTTCCCACTTGGGGTCGCTTCTGGAGAAGTGGGTAAGGTTCCCTCACGGGCCCTAAAGGCTGACGTCCCTTTTCCACCCCCGCGAGCAGGTTTAACGCCTGGGCTGCTGTATTTGGGGTCACCCGCCTCTTCATCCTCACCCTCGCTGTGCTGGCCATCGGCTTTGGGCTGGCTCGCATGGAGAACCAGGCCTTTGACCCCGAGAGAGGGAACTTCAACACTTTACTTTGCAGGTGAGTTGGGCAGAAGCCCGAGGCGAGAAAGCAGGGCTCCCTGAGCGCATCCTGGAGCTCCCTGAACTTGACACAGCTTCCACGGAAGGTCTGAGGGTCCGAGGGCAGCAGACCCGAGTCTCCTGCTGGTTGATATTTAGCTGGAATTGTCTGGACGTCAGGTCTGAGGACAGAAGAGAGACCGGCCTTCTGCTGCCATCAGAACCACCTTCGCTTCCCGGCCCCGGCCTGCTCAGCCTGCAGTCGGGGCCCCAGTCGAATGGCAGTCCCCTCCCCTTGTCCAGCGCTTCACGGTGCACAGCAGCTTTCACATCCAGCCCCTCAACTGATTGTCACAAGCACACTTGGACTCTACAGCCGTGTCCTCGGCAGTTTGGCGAATGGCCTCCCGTAGCAGCAAGGAAGCCCTTGTGTTTCCATGGGACCCCTTGGCCTGGGAGGGTGTGTGCTTTGTCTGGGGTTGCTCAGCGTGTAAGTGGCATGCTGGATGAGAAGCCCCTCTTCTAGAATTATTTCTGCTATATAATAATGCATTTTAATTCTTCCAATATACATGGAGCTGACATGCCTTGTGTTCTGTACTTTGGGTACAAAGGCCGTGGATCCCATCAGGCCTGTGGGCAGGGTGGCTGTGGAGCTGGACGCGCGTCTGTCCTCCTTCCTGTCTCCCTAGTCTCCGTCCATCCGTCATCACCCCAGAGCACGCTAGAGCAGAGACTGGCCCTGAGATTCCCGCTGTTCCGGTGGTGGTGGAGGGATGGGGTGTGCTGGTGCTGGGGGTGATGGCCATGGGAGCTCAGGTTCCTGACTCCATCTCCCCACTGCCTGGGGTCCTGGGCCTGAGTGCATCCTGAGCCCACCGCTGTGCCCTCCGCAGGCTGTGTGTGCTGCTGCTGGTGTGTGCGGCCCAGGCCTGGCTCATGTGGCGCTTCATCCACTCCCAGCTGCGGCACTGGCGGGAGTACTGGAACGAGCAGAGCGCCAAGCGCAGAGTCCCAGCTGTGCCCAGACTACCAGCCAGGCTCATCAAGAGGGAATCTGGTGAGTGCCAGGCAGGGCCGCGGGCGGGTAGCAGGTGAGTCTGTCTGGGCTGAGTGGGAAGAACCAGGCCCTGAGTCTGCAGGCTCCACCAGGCCAGTGCTGCCCCTCCTTGTCCTGAGCTGCCCCCGGGCCTGGGCTCCTTGGCTCCTGCCAGGGCCTGACTGGCCCGTGGCTGGGCGTGGGCCAGGGACACACTGTGGGTGGGGCTGGCCCTGCCTAGGCGGGGAGCCCTCTTCGCCACGGTGGGCAGGGCGGCAGCTGGGCTAGGAACTCTGGCAAGAAGCGTGTCCTCAGGGTGGCTTCTGGACTGCAGCCAAGCTCTGCCGCCCGTTCCCTGTCCCCACCTGCCCTCTTGCTCTACATCTCGGCCTGCCTCTGCCTCCCAGGTTGCTGGCTCCTCGTCTGTCTTCAGGAGTGACTCAGGGTGGCACAGTGCTCAGTGGGTGGCAGGGGTGGGACACCCACTTCTCCTTTGACCCCTGCCACGCACTCTAGTAACCACCGCCCACCCTGGGTCCCGGGGCACTGCCAGCCCTGCACTTTCCATCCAGCCTGGGGGCCTGTCTGCACCAGGGTCTGTTTTCTGACTCATCTGCCCTTCTCCAGGTGTGGCCTGCCTGGCGAGGGTGCACGTGTGTTCGCACCAGACACGTGCGTAGTTGGGTGTGATGAGGTGTCAGGCCTGGCTGGGGGTATGGGCAGGAGGATTCAGCCTCTGACTGAGCAAGCACGCGGATGCGTTTGGCAACAGTGAAAAGATGGCACAACTTTTTGTCAGGCGTCTGAGGAGGGCCTTGTCCCTACAGCCTCTCTGCCTCCTTCTTCTGTTCCCACCATCCCAGGAGTTGTGCTGAAGTGGACTGGCGCCCAGCAGGGGCCTGGGAGAAACTGAGTGATTTTACAAGGGTCTGGCCCCGGCCTGCTCCTGGGTTACTGTGTGTCATCCCAGCCCCTCCCTCTAAAGGACAGTCAGAGACCCACCACCTCAAACATAGCCGCTGGCAGCCAGACATGGGGAAAACAGGAGCCCCGGGGGGGCTGTCTGCTGGTTTCCTCTCTCTGTCCCCCCAGGGCTCATCCTGTGTGCAGCCGCAGGGCAGCCCGGCCCCCACGGGCCCCTCTCCTGTGTCAGTCCCAGCAGAAACACCACATCTGTCTGTCTCCCTTCATTTCCTAGGTTACCATGAAAATGGAGTGGTGAAAGCAGAGAATGGAACCTCCCCACGGACTAAGAAACTCAAGTCTCCCTAAGGCCAAAGGCTGCCAACAGGAATCCTCTCGCAGGGCCCAGCAGGGAGGCGGGGAGCCTGCCTCCACCCCTGCGGCCTCTGTCCCTGCCTCCCCCTTCCTGCCCCGGACGCTCCTTCTCAAACAGCAGGCACCTGTCTTCAAACAGGGCTTCTCCTCTGTCATACTTCTTGGCTGTCTCTTCTTCCATAAACCATTCTCAATAAAACCAAAAATCTTCCTCTTTCTCTCCCTCAAGCCACCTCATGTCCTCACCTCTGTCCTGTGTTGGGTTTTCTAGAAGCCCAATTTCTCATGGTTATCTTTCTGCTTGCCTCCTCTTTCTCTTCCTTCATGGCTGCTGCCTTCTCTTTGTACTTCTTCAGTTCACCATATTGTGCAATTTTTCTGTGTCTGATTTTTACAATGAGAGGGAGCTGAGATCGCAGTCCTGGCCATCCAGCACCCAGCGTCAGTCCCCAGGACCTGTCAAGGTCTGGAAGCCTCGTGCCAAGGAGCCTCGGCCTGGGGCAGGTCGCAGGCCCCCCGGTGGCCCCCATGTGGATGGGCAAGAGGAGGAGACTACCCTTTCAGATGACCGTCTCCTAGGTGCTGACTAACTGACGAGATGTGTGATTCCAGTTCGGCACGCGCCGTCGTGAGGCCCCGCAGCGCCACTGCTGGTTGTAAATGCCAAGGCCTTTGGCTTCGGGACAGGATGTCTTGGTCCAGAAGGATGGTATGAGCTGCGTTGGGTCCTGTGACTGGAGACAGCTTACTGGTGGCCACTCCCAGCCTGGAAACCACCCTGCTCCCGCTCAGTCTGGGAGGTGCTACAGGAGGACAGGTCTCCCGCTCTGGAGCAGGGGCAAGCGCACCATGCAGCAGGCTCTTCCGGAAAGGTGCTGGCAGCAGAAGTGGTGGCCGAGTCCTCCTAGGCCTCTTGTCCGCAGCCTCAGTTGCTTTTCAGCCATTCACCAGCATTCAAAAAACCAAATGAAACCGCCATTAACAGACCAGCCTGGGATTTGCTGGTCCTGAACCCCAGACCCGGCCGGCCTTGTTCCCCGACGCCATCTCTAGCTGCAGGAACACTAACCGCCACGTCGGCCCCTTGGTGCCCCAGGGAGCGTCACCTGGGCCACTCACCCTCTGGCCTCGCTCATTGAGTGTTCTTCAGAATTGTTGTTGTCACCTGATGTTTGCTGGGCACACTGACAGCTTCCAGACCGCAGGACCCAGGGCTGAGTCAGAGTCACTCTGCTGGCTCGGGAGCAGACACAGCAGTACCGACAGGCGGCTTCTGCCCCGGCCCTCACTCATGCTCTCCCCTCCCTCCACCAAAGCTGAGGTCTCCAGGTCCTTATGATGCCTGGTGAGGGCTTCCAGAAGGGGCGTTAGGCTTTCAGAGTCCCGATTAAGAAGTGAACTCTGCTGAGGCGAGGGGCGGCGGTTCTTGATGGCACAGGACTGTCAGTGTCATTCGACGTGCTGGTTCTCTTTCTGATGTCACAGGAGAAAGCAAACCTTGGATTATTACCCAAAGGGGGAGATGGGTCTTTCCATCAGACATCACTTCTCCAGTGGCTGAGGGATTTGTTACCTGACACTGCTGTCGACCCTTACCTCGTCCAGGTTCAGGTGGCAGAAATGGGAAGAACTATCCTTGGCTTCTGATCACCCTTAGGAAAACACGCACTTCTCCCGTCCTTCCCTCTCGTCCCTGACGCTTCTCTGGGCAGCCAGGCAGAATGTTGGTAAAAGGGTGCACTGGTCTCACCCCAACAGACGCGGTCCAGACCCCTTAGCCATTTCCATCTAACAGCACTGATGCGGCTGGTGTTGTCACGCCCCCGCCTTGTCTGGTGACTGCTAATGGAGGGGGTGTTCAGCCAGTGGCCGCCTCAGCCGCCCCGTCAGCCTGGCTGCCTGTCCAGTTCTATCCGGGCTGCATCCTTGGCAGGCGCTTCTGCTCCCCCCAGGTGCGCCCTGGGGAAGCCGCTGAGCTGTGCCTGCAGCAGATACTCGAGTCCATGGTGTGTGCGGGGTGCTGCAGGTGGCGGGTGCTGAGTGACAGTCCAGGTCGTGCCATCAAGCAGCCTCCCTTCCCATGGACAGGGTGTTGGCCCCACATTCCCAAGGTCTCCCGCGGGCTCTGGGTGCAGCAGTGTAGTGCGCCTTGGTGGTGGTGGCACCATCAACCCAGGGGCCGGGCGACTCCAGCTCTGTTCCTCCAGGACAGCATTCATTCAGCAGTGAGAGTCAACAAAAGCTTTTCTGCTGTGAAAACCCTGAGACTCTGAGTAAGGCTAGCATCTCACCAGCCGGTCTTCAGGAGTGACTTAGGGAAGAGGTGGCTGAGGGGGTAGTTGCAGGGTCTTTGTCACCCCACCGGCGTTCCTGGCACATTTATTCCGAGCAGAGCCATGGCTTTGGCAGTTTGGCTCTAACCATGTTGCCAGGGGCCAGAACGACTTGGTTCCACTTCATCCTGTGAGCCTGGTGGGCTGGTCTGGCCCAGTCTGCCCCAATTTGGCCCCTCTGGCTGTTTTCTTCAGTCTCAAACACTCTCCTGCTGCCAAAGTGCCGAGCCACCTGTGACGGCCCTGCCAGACGCCCCCAGCTCGAGAGGCCGCTCAGCGCTGTTCGCCAAGAGCTGGCGAACAGATGCTAATCTACCTCAGCAACCGCTGCCCCGCTCAGCATCGCTGACCGGCACCGGCCTGGGGGAAGCGGGCAGGTGGCAGTGGCAGGAGAGCGAGGATCCCGTGCTCTGATTCCCCTCCTTGGAGGTTATTTTTACCATCCAGGCTCTGATAGCTGTACTATTAATAAGTTACATGCGTTCGTTTTGAAAGTAGAGGAAGGTTCTGGGGGAACTGAGGAGAGATGCTGCTCCCATTCCAGTCGCTCCTCACCCTGTGTGTGTCTGGGCCACCGGCCCTAAATTGTTGCTGAGAACCTTTTCCATTTCTGCCCCAAGGCAGAAGTCGCCAGCATTTCAGAAACCAAAATAGACGTCTGTGCCCTGGCCCTCTCTGCGGGTGCCTCTCGAGACGGGCATCCCTCGGGCCCTAGAAGCGCCCAAAGGCTGGGCTGGATGTTCCAGGGGTGTGCACTTCTGGTTTCTCTCTTGGGACCTTCTTCGTCAGCACCCTTTGATGTTATTGTAAGTGGTGAATAAGAGGTAGGGGCAGACAGTGCACCCCCTCCCAAAATTCCGGAGCAGAACATTCTGTTTCCTGGATGCCTTTTGAATTTGAGGCGGCTTGCTGACCCCATGTGGCCGGGGGAGGCTTGGTGTGGGTTTCCTTTGTGGCTTCAGCCTTCCCCGGTGGTGTTTCCTAGGCCTGGGGGGAGATGAAGGAGGGTGGTCTGGACAGAACTGCCCTCCCGAGGCCTGAGTGTCGCAGGGAGCGGCCTTCGTTCTCCACCTTCCAGGCCTCTGCCCTGTCCTCCTCTAACAGCGAGTGTGCTGAGTGAGTCAGGTTGCTGAGTGGTCCAGCTGCCTTCCCGTGCTCAGCCCTGGTCCTCAGGAGGGACTCTGGGCACAACTGGGGAATTGGGTCATTGTCAGATCACTTGAAAACCTAAAGAAACTCCCTCTCCTGCCCAGGGCTGGCCCAGTGAGGAAGGCTTTACTGACCTCTCCCACTCTTTACCCCGTTCTCGGTTCTCGCATGCATGTCATCTCCTCCCAAAAGGCTGAGAAAGCCTGCTCCTCCGCTGCCCCACCCCCCCTTTTTATGGAGGTCTCAGAAGAGCCCCGCGACATTGGGACTTCCGGGCTCTGCGCCTCAGATCCTTATTCTCTTGCTGTAAGAAGTGCCTTACTTGCCGGGTGGTTTTCGGTCTTCCCTTGTGCTGTGTGGCCTGCCCCCAGTTGCCAGGGCTTAGGGCTGTCCGTCATGTGCAGCCAGGGCCACTGGACCTGCTATAGTTACATGTAAAAGGGACACGGATTGGGACAGTTTTGCCTCATCCATCTCTCCCACATTGTGATGGGTCTGTGCCACGTCCTCTGTTCTTTCTGGTTTCTCCCCCGTGTCAGTTTTCTGTGAGGCCCAACCGCAGGCTCCTGTGCCTGCTACCTATTAAGGGAAGCTCAGGGGTCCCCTGCGCCTCTGGCCTCACACGGTGAGCCCTGCTCTTCCAGTTCCCCCACATTAAAAGGAAAGGCACCCTTGTGATAACCTCTTCCCATCTCTCTGGCTTCCCATTCAACCCAAAGTCTATATGATAAAGGTGTTTACTTTTACTTCCCAGTCACAAGTGTTGACTCCTGGATGCCCGTGTGACGGTGGGTTTGGTTCGGCTGTTACAGAACTTCCTGGAGCTCCTCATTCAGTGTCACCTTGTGTTGGCAGCAGTGCCCCTGTTCCCTGCTGGCCTGCCTTTCCTTGCTCTTCCGGGTTGTGCAATAACTCTCCCAGCCAGTGGTCCTTTCCACAGGCTTTGCTATCCCTTACAACACCCTGCAACTGAGGAGGGAAGGGACCATGGGAGGGGTGGTGGTCATCCCCTACAGAAGACACATCAGCCACTTTCCTTCTGTTACTGTCATTCTCGTGACCCTGGCTGGCTTTCTGTGGCACTCTAGTAGAACATTGTAGCATCATCTTAGAAGTCCATATATTTTTTTAAAAATCTGTTGAAAAGGAAAAAAAACCATCCTCATGACGGGGCATTAGTAAGTCAGCATCTGGGAATAAGATGACACCCGAGACATCACCATCACTCTGCCTAAGAGCATTCCAGAGTTTCTAGTTCATGTGGAGAGGAAGGGGATTTTCCTGAGAGCCAGCCCCGCGTGGACAGCCCTGTTCACCTGATAGGACCGGGCTGTGACTAAGTGCTGCCATGTCCTTGGGTACAGATTCGAGTGTTTATGTGATGAGACGATAAACCTCACTTTTCAGTTCCTCGTGTTTAATAAACATCTGAAGGATGAGCTGAGGCTGCTGGTGTCCTGAGCAACTCAATGCAAACGTGGACAGACCGTCTTTGTTTTTCCACTTTAGCCTGTTCATGTCATGGACCAAATTTCAACAAGGAACTCAAGGAAAACTTGTACATGCATATTTATGCTTTCATGTCAAAGGGTTTTGGGGGGGACTTTTTACTTTCAGTGAACTTTTTCCAAAATCCTTTTTCCACTGTTTCTGTCTGGTTTTAAAACAAATTACGGTTTTGTATGGATTTTTTAATGCACATTTTGAAACAAATGATCAGCAAATATTTTTGAAATAACTGAATAAAAGGTATAGAATTATCAGTCTAATTGTCTCTGGTATAATTCCTTATATTCCTTTTTAAATCTGGATGCTTCGTTTGCTTTTACTTGAAAAGTGAGTTTGCATCAATTTTAGTCTCGTTTCTAATGTTTTTCACCATATTAGTTATTTCTTGGAAATCTCCTGTGATATATTTGTTCATTGTGGTCATGTGAATTAGGGCATTGGCACTAAGGATGGAGAAAGGGTTGGTTATACTGAGTGCTAGGGAGTAATAAGCATCATTTTCTTTGGTCTCCGACAGTGAAGTATGAGGGCGGGAAGTTCCCTTGACGAGGGTCTGTGGGTAGGAAGCTGCACGAGGACACACACCATGCTCGGTGCCTACGCTGTAATGAGTCATCTGGCTAGAAGATGGGATGAAGTTTGTAAAAGCCACCACATGTTAGTGTTGGTGCTAAACAGAAGACAACCTAGTATTAGTAATAATAGTGGGCAGTGGGGATGTCTGGTGTCAATGCCTGCTATTGCCCACAGCCGCCAACCTGGGCTCTGAGGATTAACCAGGAAACGCTGACTGAGCTGCAGGGGAGGGGTACTATCGAGGGCGAGCTTTGGGGCAGAGCTGGGCTGCAGCTGCCCCGAGCGCGGGGTCACCTCCAGCAGCTCATCTTTCTGGGCCTGCTTGCTCCTCTGTGTCCTCCGTTTTGTGGTTGGTTGGTTCGCCTGCTTGCTTGTTTCTGCAGGGAGCGGTGGTGGGAGATTTAGGGATAGTGAATGCCAAGTTCATGGTACATATAAAGCACTCAGTAACTTTTTCTTAATGAACATACTCATATTCACGTGCTAGCAGGCTATTCGGGAGTCACTCACCCAAGTAACCCTTGATTCTCTGGAAACAACATTTGGAGACGTCTTCTCTACCTCTTGGTCCCAAATGCCCTCAAAGCCTGTAGCTGTGGCTTTGATACACCCTAATTAGATGGTATTTTCAAGGCCTGCTGGTGGTACAGACACAGTAGAGGCCCAGGGCCTGAGGAGTGGCTAACTCACAGCCAGTCTTCACCCACGGGCAGATTTTACTGGCCCTGACCCCATAAGCTACCCTAAAGCATTGTCACACAGCCTTCAGTTAGAGCCCCAAGCCGCAGCTACTCACCTGCCTCTGCTGCACACGCTAACAGGCAATGTTAATTGTGTCTCAGCTCCCTGGGGGCCCATTCAAAAGAGGGTCATTTCTTCTTCCCCCAGTAGTGCTTGCTGCAGGCTAGTCCTCGGTTCCCTTCCATCACCTGAGCCAGGACTCCAGGTGCATGCCAGGTGTGACTGTAGCATAAAGTGGCAAAGCTGACATCTAACAGTTGCACTGCCATTCAGGATCTTGGTAGGAAAAGTAACTGGCTCTGACTTTTGTGGCTCTTACATGTGGCTGCCTTGTGTAAACTAGTGCCTGCCGACACCGCAGAAATGACCGTCCGGCTCTGGTCTTCTGTGAAGTAGCTTTTACACCTTGTGATGGTGCTGGCAGATCTCAACTTCTCCATCCTGGGTCAATTTGCAAGGTGAGGCATGGACAGCGCCAACCTTATTCAAGGCAGGTCCAAAGACCCTTCTAACCATCACAGTGGGGCTGACATTTTAATTCTGGTCCCCATTACAGTGGAAAAGGTATAGGAGGATAAAAAGGGAAAAATATCAGAACTGAGGTTAGAAGGGCTATGAACACTTGGACCTCAAAGGCTGGGTAAGAGGGTGTTAAATGAGACTTTTTCCCACGTTTCCAATTTCGGTTAAGGACAGAAATTGGCAAGTGTCTCCATGTGCTGCAGACCGGTGCAGATCACGACAGACTTGCTGGAAGGGGCCCAGAGCTGCTGCAAACCTCCCTCCTCCCCAGGAGGCAGGGTGATGCAGAGATTACTGGCGAGTGTGGATTTCCTGCAGGGAGCTGTCAGAGTGCTCTTGTCCACAAGCTAAGGGAGGGAGGTGCTCTATCAGACTTGGGGCTTGACGTGTTTCCCCTGGAGCTGGGAGAGCACAAGATTTTGGGTGTCCGAGCCTCACCAAAAACAAGTCTCAAGGAGAGGGGCTGGCTGAGCTGCCTACCTGCCCAGCCAAGAGAGCAGTCTAGAAGGAAACAAGCAGGAGCGGATGCCCTGGAGAGCAAGTTGGTCTTATGGGCCCACCGACCCAGAGGAGCTCTGAGCGGGTGAGAAGGAGCCTGGCAGGAGCACTGTTGGGGCAGGCAATTGGTCTCCGAGAACGGGGCACGGGGGCTTCCTGGGGGAAAGTGTCTGAAGAGCTCACAGAAAAGGCGCCCAGGGAGAGCGCGAGCCAGGCTTCAGGCACATGCCCATCAGAGGGCCCTGGCCCAGATTACGACTTTACCAGCCACAGAAATAAGACTTGGCCCTGTTCCTCTGTCTCCACCCCAAATCCTTCCCAACACTACAAAGGCCACAAACAGCAGTATGGCTGAATGGGGGCAAAGGGAGGGGAGACCACAAGGAAGGCAGAAGGAACAAACCCACTCGACCTGCCCTGCCACGGCCCCAGCACACGTGCTGCAGGCTTCCAGGTTGAGGCAGCACTAGCTGGGTAGGCAGCTGCCGGGCCGGGGCAGCGTGAGCCGGGGCAGCTTCTTAGCCAGTGCAGTATTAGCTGGCGCAGCGCAGAGCTGGGGTGGGGCAGGCTGGAGAGCTTAGATTTTCTTTTAGACTGAATGGACATTTAAATACTTGAAAATTAGTTTTTTAATAGCTATGAGTGACTGGGAAAACCCAAAGAAAACATGGTTCTTCTTGAGATATCAACCTGGAGCAGAAAAGGAGGGGTCAGCAGAATCCCCGCACAGCCCTTTTCAGAAGCTGGGTAGAGGCGCCTCAGCTCAAGGAGAGGGAGAACCGAGGGAAGCTGCCCGCGAGTTCAGAGAGGGCCGGGCGTCCTGGTCCTGGTGACCCACCCTCACGTCCAGCACCCGCGAGGGAGCAGCCAGGGGTCTGAGAGAGCGTTTACACAGATGAGGCGGTGGCTGCAACTGAGGAGCAGCCCTCCTTTCACACAGCCCATCACAGCTCACTAGAGGACCAGTAACCGCTACTAGTCTTTCCCTCCCATCTCAAGGCCAGGTCTCTAAAAGCAGAGATTTTTCTAAAAAAAATTTTTTTTACTATAACCCACATCAAGAAATAGATTTTATATCATGATCTAGTAAATACACATTCAGCTGAAACAGAAGTTTCATGAAACAGTACATACCCTACTGTGTGTACACACTATTTCCTCTTCTGTTCCACTTTTTAAAAATGCGGGTCCTACTCGTGGCATAGAACCAGAGTTTGAAGAATGTGGTGTATTTCCCTCTCCTACTAGGGTGAGCAGGCAGGTGTGGCGGGTATTGGTAGCAATACTAGTACTGTGTGCTTATTTTCCAACACCCCAAATGACGCTTCTCTTAGCAAATTCTATCTTTCCTGCTGCTCGCAATCCCTGTAAACCTGTATTAGTCAGGGTTCTCCAGAGAAACAGAACCAAGAGGATGTATACAGAGAAAGAAAGAGATTTATTATAAGGAATTGGCTCACGCGATTATGGAGGCTGACAAGTCCCAAGATTTGCAGTCAGCAGGCTGGAGACCCATGAGAGTGATGGTATAGTTCCAGTCCTGTCCGAAGGCCTGAGAACCAGGACAGCTGGCTGTGCAGTCCAGTCTGAAGGCCAGCCGGCTTGAGACCCAGGAAGAGCCGATGTTTCAGTTTGAGTCCGAAGGCAGGAGAAAGCTGATGTCTCAGTTTGAAGGCAGGCAGGAGGAATTGTCCCTTACTTGAGAAAGGCTCAGCCTTTTTGGTCAATTCAGGCCTGTAATGGACCTGATGAGGTCCAGCCACAGTGAGGGGCCATCTGCTTTACTCAGCCTACCGATTCAAATGTTAATCTCACCCAGAAATGTCCCCACAGGCACACCAGAATAGAGTTTGACCAAATATCTAGGCACCCATGGTCCAATCAAGTTGACACATAAAATTAACCATCACGAAACCTCTACCCCTCCCTCCCTCAATAAGGCACCAATCTGAGCTCCTACAAGGTCCAATTTAATTTAGACTTTAGTAGTAGCGAAAGAGAAGGACCATAAAGAAATATAATCTCAAGAGCTCTGTAAATGCTTCTACAAAGAGTACAAGGTATATTTCAAAGTGTAGGTCCAACCTCCAAAAAGTGTCTTGCACTCCCTCATCGGCAGGTCAGTTTGAGAAAGCCCGAACAAAGTTGTAGTAGTCGATCTTGTCTTCTCCGTGAGAGCACATCCTGATCAACTGCAGAGAGAGCAGAGGAGCAGTGACAGACACGCAGGGCTGTCCTCGGCGTCACGGCAGAGCACTCACTCATAATACTCCCCGGCCTTGCTCAACCAGTTCCGAGTGTTAATATCCTCACTAGATTCTGAAATGATCCTGTGAACCTGGTAGGTATGTCAGATATTATCCCCATCTTACACTCTCTGAAATCAAAGCTCAGATGGAGTAAATGGCCTGCCCAGGACGTCAGGACTAACATTTGTATTTATAAGGGCATTATCATTTCCAAAGCACTTTTAATTGTTTTTATGTTCAAATACAAGACTTTTCCACCCATTCTGTGCAGAGTAATACTCTTTAAAATAGCAGGTTTCTGTTATCACAGCCTAATACCTAATAGAAGAATCTAGTGATGTCACTGCTCAAACCATGTACCTTGAAACTCAGCTGTGAGTGGTAGTAGACTGATCCGCTGTGCTACCTTTATGACATGTGCAAATCCATCCCACCCACACCTTCCCTGGCCCACTTCCCACTGACGGCAATTCCTCTCTCCCGTGTCAGGTCACAGAGAGCACCAATGACTTAAAAATCAAAATGTGGGCAGGCTGTCTTTAGAAATCTGGGACGCTAAGTGGGTGTTCAGCCACATGAACCGGTACCTTTCTATCTGCCTCCCCGCTCCTTGCTAATGTTCTGTCTGCAACAAATCCTCGTCTCCACCCTGGTCACTCTAGGCCCAAAGAGAA